CCCCCCCGTGATTCCTGGGCCTTCTCTCCTCCCGGAGGATCCACGATAAAGCTTTCACCCCCACAGAATAGGCACCTGTCGCTTCAAGGTGCATTTACTGGACTCACTTTATTTGAAATGTGTCCCACGGACATAAGGCGCCTGGGAACGTACCCACTGGATGTGCAGGAAAACTGATCCCAAGGGGTTACCCGGCTCGCGTGTGTGGCCCTGGCCTAGTGCTCACCGCGTGGGAGCTGGTCTAACCTGTCTGCGTCTTTGCTACTCTGCAAGCTTGAAACAACGGAAGGAAGAAATCCTCCTTCTGTCTTGTGGGCCTGGAGGCTCCTACCCAGGTCTCTGACTTAGCATTTTGTTCCCCGCAGGCAGGCGGCCGGCTGCCACGTCCGGCCCCTCCTACGGGTTAGCTCTCACTTGCTCAGCCTATATCTAACCTCCCAGTCTTTAAACTCCAAAAGCGCTTCCTGTCCCAACACTCATTGAGGCCCCGAAGTCCGGAGAGGCTGGACTGAAAGGCTGGAAAGGCTGATGAACTGTTTCACGTGCAGGTACGCCAAGGCCTCCCTGCAGGTGAGCCGTGTGAAAGCAGGCGTCTCCCCTTCGGACCCCCGGGTCCTCTGCACAGCATTCTTCCTCTGCTCCACCCCGAGGCCAGCAAAACTGAAACCTAAAGCGTGAACCTTGCCCCAGGGTAAGAACCAGTCTTGAGCTGAGGCGACCTACATCAAACAGTTCCATCCGCACAACCGTGAACCCCACATCCCTTGCCCCTGCCGGCAAGAACAAACCTGCCTGATCCAGAGACACCCCCCTCTCTGGTCCTGACTCGGCTCTCCAACAACGGCCATTGGGGCGTGTTTCCACTATCCTGGCCTGTTTCCCTGTTCCCTTCCAGGAGTTCAGACGCCGTCTCTTCTCGGAGCACCAAGGGTTCCTTCCACCTCTTGCCTGGGCTCCTGAATCGTACCTGTCCCCGTGGACTGTTCTCCCGCCAGCAGCCCCAACTGCTTCATCATACACACGACTTGAAACTGCTGAGCCCCGCCTGTCCCGTAGACAGTCTCTGCTGCCAGCACCTGAGGAGGGGACAGCTCCCGGCGGCCCCGCCCACCGGCCCGGAGAGCAGGCGAGCAGGCTGAGGGGCGGCCCTGGCCTCCTCTTGCCTCTTCTGCTGTGCCACCCTGGGCTTACCAGCACGGAGACGGGCGGTCTTACTGAGGGCAGGACAGGAAGTGCACATTCTAGCCCAAGGAGGTGCCCCCGCATACCAGCATTCACTTCGATGGCGGCCCTCAAGTCCTTCCTCTCCTTCCGGAGCTGGGCCAGCCTGTTGCGCAGGGTCTCCTTCCTCTTCAGCAGCTCCTCTTGCTTACTCTGCAACAGCTTGGCGTCGGCTTCGACCCGGTTCTTGCCATATTTGTACTGGTCAGCATCTTAAAAAAAAAAAAAAAAAAAAAGAAAGCCACAAAAGAAAATTAGGTTTAATTAAGCAGGTAACGGTAATTCATAAAGCCTATTTAAAATCAGCCAACTCGAGGTGTGCCTGGGTGGCTCAGTCAGTTAAGCGTCCGACTTTGGCTTAGGTCATGATCTGACGGTTTGTGGGTTCAAGCCCCGTGTTGGGCTCTGTGCTGACAGCTCAGAGACTGGAGCCTGCTCTGGATTCTGTGTCACCCTCTCTCTCTGCCCCTGCCCTGCTCGCACTCTGTCTCTGTCTCTCAAAAAGTGAATAAGCGTTAAAAAAGATATTTAATAAAAATTTTTTAAAAAATCAGCCAACTTGGTAAAAGAAACTCTAATCTAGCTATTTCGCTAGCTCAGTAAGACAAAGAATGGGAAGCTGGACTTGAGTAGAAAATGGACAAATTCGAATAGTTTCGACAGCTTCCCAGGAGTCTCTGAGTTGAGTTAAGGGAACACAAACAGAACATCAGGACATTTTTTAACTCACTTTCCTTTGCAGCACGCAACAATCTTCAATAAGGCTGTGGCTCAGCATTCTCTAATCCACACCAAGAGTAATCTCCTGGATGTGGGCACTTCTCTGTATTTTTCAAAAGACTTCCGTGAACACCGGCACACCCGAGCCCCATGACTGAGCCGCCTGGCAGTGTGGCCGGCTGGACGCAGCTCTGTCCCCTGTGCTGCGGTGGGTGTCCGGCCTGGACCGAGCACACGGCTATCCACTGAACGAGTGAAGGAATGAACAGGAATACGGGGAGTCTGTGTGCAGCGGGGTCTGGATCTGACTGGCTGGGCTGGAATCCCATCATGCCACATCAGCTGTGCGACCTGAAACAACGCGCCCCGCCTGTCTATGCCTCGGTTCCCGCAACTGTGACACAACAACCCCCAGGGCTGTTACCAGGGCTAACTTAAGATTTATGGAGCGCTCAGAACAAGCATGAAATGAGCACTTGCTAAATGTTCATTAAATAAGAGGAATGAATGAGTGAACGAATGAACGAACGAACGAACGAGCGAACGAAGAGCAAACCAGTCTTAGGGAAACTAGTCGGAGATCTGGCCAACGCTACCGCATTAAATCTTGTCCTCTGAGTATGTGGGCCTTATGAGGACAATAATTCAGAGAAACCCTCCCTGGAAAAACACCCTGAAGAGACAGAGATGCCACACATGTGATCAAGGGTCACTGACTTTGGAGCTCCCACCGCCTCCTGCACCTGATTGCGACTCAGGGGCCTCCTACGAGTCAGCCGCACCCCTGCACCCCGCCGCCTCACACCCCACAGCACCGCCATCGTCGGCTTGTGTGTCTGCTGCCCCAGGGGACTGGCAGTGACCCCTGGGCAGGTGTGTGGTGTGATGCCAGAGAGGCCGCCAGGACTGGGCAACGAATCTCCCCGAGGCTCAGCTTCACCCCACCCCCCCCATGAAGCAGAAGCGAGAAGCCCACCTGGAGGTCCAACAAAATTTGAGATCTGTACCTAAAACCCATCCCAACAAAACCACAAGATGCCCGGGACGGGGTGGACCCTCACTGGCAGCTCCAGTCACCGTCAGTGACAACGGAGTCCCCAGGAGCCCCAGCCGGCCCCCGTCCTAGATGCTGAAGGCGCTGACTCCTGCAATGAAACCCTGCGTTTAGGAAGGCAGGTGCAAATCTTCAGTCCCCAGGCAACCTCCCCTCACTACAGACAGACAGACCGAAAGAAAAAGTACACACACAGCATGATATTAAAAGGATCTAACCGGAGGGGCTCTCCCAACAGACCTGCATGCACTAACCTATAAATGTCCACATCTCTGGGTCCCCGTGCCATAAACCCCGTCCAGCCTGTAACGCAACTGGCTGAAGGGTCGGGTCCCGTGTAGCAAGGTTCTGGGGCACAAGCTATTTCCTTCCCCCATGTCCCTCCACGAATGAAGAGCGCTAACCTTTTAAGTGACTATAAATACACCCAACTGCATGAGAGAAATAAGATTTGTCAGAAAGATGAGGTCAAAATTAACCAGCACAATGACATTGTGACGAGGGGGATTTGGTCCAACCGGCTCCCGACCTATCTGCTCGAAGCGCACGTACGAGGAGAAGGAAGTAGAGACAAGCTGATGTACAGAAGAGAAGCCCCCTTGGGGCACAAGCGGCCAAGGATTGTTGGTCGAGTCCAAGGCTCGTCCTTGTATGTCGCCAAGGAAAGGGCCGCCCTCTCCATCCCCAGACACTCTCACACTCCGAACGTCCGTCACAGTGCAAACAGGAGGTCACTCAGTCAGGTGCTGAGAACACCTGAGGGGTTACTAACGAGCCAGCTGGCCTCATCGTCGCCTCCACGGAGACCGTCTACCAGCCAGCGGTACTGAGCCAGATTCAGAAAGCACAGACACAACTCCCCACGCGACCATCTCCGGAGTCTGACTCCCATCCTTCTCCCCTAACACGTCCACACCCGCTCAGGAGCTCCCGAACCTCGTAACGGCCTGAGCCGCAGCCCCTTTACCAGCAGGTCTGGCCGAGAGCTTCCCCGGAGACCCGAGCAGCTGGGCGGCAAGCACCCTGCGCGTGCTGCCCGGGCAACAGGCACGGCTGCCCCGCTGGCCGAACGAGTCGGGGCCCGGCGCTGCCGGGGCCGAAGCAAATCTGCACGGGTGTGGACGGCGCTGTCACCTGAGGTGAATCCACCGCGGGTGGGGAAGGGCACCGGGCGCTCGGGCGGGCTGGGTCCCCCCTCGTGTCCTACTTCTGCTCTGCTCGGCCCCCTGCAGATGTGGAGTCTGACGGCAGTGCTCACTCTGGTTCCGTTACTGGCCAGCTGTGAGGTGCTGTGGGAGCCCCTCGGTCTCTCGGAGAGGATTTCTGCGTCTGCACGGCGGGGCAGACGACACCACCTGCCCTGATAAACAGGCCGGGCGAACCAACAGGGGAACGCGAACATCGGCTCGCAGACCCTAAGGCGGGGCACGAACACGCACCCCGTCAACCTTCCGCCGCTCTCGTGCCTGGAGACCCACGGGACACCTCAGAGATGTCACAGAGACCACAGCCACTTGTCTACGCCACCAACACGGGGAGCCGAGCTCACAGAGCGTTCGCGCGGCTTGACAGAAGTCACTAAGTCACCAACAGACTGGGGACGCAAGCTGACGTCTGTTGACCCGAAGCCCAGGGCGCCTACAATCGTGTCCTAGGGAAACAGCGTCAGAGCGGTTGCACGCCACCTGTACGCCTAACCGGTCAGCTTTGCTTCTCCTTTCATACAGCGCTCAGAAGAGCAGAGTTAAGAGACCGTCACCCGTCTTTGGCCCGGCAAGGAGGCAGGGTGACGATGAACGCAGTCCCCGCTCTCCACCGGACCCCCACACCTGGCATCTCTACCTGAGCAGGTGAGAAGACGGCTCTTACGGCCCCAGCCCTGCGAACCGCACCTGAAACTAGAAAGGATCCGGACGGTGAACTTACTTGAAGGCGTGCGTTTCACGCTGGATGCCGAATCGGCTTGTTTCTGCTGACTGCTTGGAGTCTTCCCCTTCCCCGGGACCCCACTGGAGGCTGCCGGGGGCTTTTTACCCTTCAGCTGTCAAAACAAGCAGAAGGAAATTAAAAACAGACAATAAAAAATACTTTTTGTTTTCAGTAAGTTGTCTCAGTCTCTGAATCCTTCCTATAACCTAGCACGGACGGAAAGCCAGCGTGCGTTCCAAACACTGAGCTGCTGTGGTTTTCCTGCTCTGGCTTACGTGGGTCTGGAGCGGAGGTCCGAGGCCAGTGAGGAGCTTGGATGTCTCCAGTTGGGATGCAATGAAAGTTATGTACGCTTCTATTGGGAGATCATAAACGCTAACCAAGAAGCTGGCACAGGCAGTAGAATATCCGAGAGCATTTGGTGGAGATTCCTAAAAGTTTGCGTTTCTAAAAACAAACGGCTCGTCTTTCTGGGGGATTCTCTTTAGGGGAGCGGCATGGCCGAGCATCAGATTTCTGCTCAAAGGGCCCTGCCACTGCCGGACGTCCTCATGGGACAGGTAACTACCTTCTGATTCATGGGCGGGTCAGAGGACAGAAGCAAGGAGAGCGACACAGGACCAGTATGAATGCAGTCGGTTCTTGGGAAAGATTCAACGGTACCTCTACTCCTTCAGTGCAAGCCAACAGACGCTGGGTTTTGCTCACGTGATACACGTGGACCTTACTTACGTCATCAATCAACCCAGAGTGGCGGCAAACGTCGACTCCAGACCCACGCTTTCCCACAATGCTTCGTTTGCTGCTATTGTGGGCCCAGTGGTGGGGAGGTGGACAGACGGAGCTTCAGGCTCTGACTCTATGATTTGGGACACGCTGAGCAAGTCGTTACAACTTTCGGAGCTTCCATTCGCGCATTAAAAAAAAACATAAATATACCGAGTCCTCCCCACAGGGTTCCTAAAAAAGTCAGGCGACACGCCAGACACGTGCACGACATACGGCAAACTGTAGGTGCTCACTAACTGAAAGACCTCTCCATTAAACACCAGGTCCCCTGTTATTTGGTCAAAATGACCAAACTAGCACAGGAAACCTAAAGGCTCTACTATTCAACTTACAAACGTGTCTCCTACCTTAAAACAGAGTAAAAACGAATAAAAACAAGCACATCGAAATAACGTTATCGAGTGATTCCAGACTAATCTGGGGACAAAGCCAATGTGCCAGATGGCATACTTGTCCCACAATTTCCACCTAACAGAACTTTTATGCCAATAAAAGGAGAGAAGTCCGTAGACACATTCGTGTTCACTGAGTGAATCTTCACAGATCTGAGCAGCGGTCGTTAAAAATCAGAAACAAACCTTCCCTGGGATTTTGGTGAAATTGATGAGCTGGTTAGAGCTCTGCCAGCCTCCGCCGCGCGAAGCGCTAGGACCTTACCAGGCAGTCACTGCTTCCTACGGTTACCCCAAAAATGGAGCAAAAAGAATGTAATTTAAAGTGTACCCCTCTGCTTCCTGTTTGTAGAGTATTCTCATATCGTGGTGCTTAGATCTGTATGCCAAGTACAGAAAGTCCTCGGGCGGAAAATGCATGAACACACCAGATCAGCACTGACACTGCAATGTTATCGTCTGCCGTAACTAGGAGGTACAGAGCAGACAGCAGTTCAACATCCAGCTTATTTATTCAGTGATAATCCAAAATCCTCGTTACTACTTGGTTTCAGGCAGTACGCTTTAGACTTCGTTGCAGAAAAATACTGTAGCATCTTGAAGATCCTGTTCTATGTTTAAAGACCAAAAGCAAGTCGCACCTGGAGTCCAGCGTTCCTCACATACGTGCGATGGGAACATATTGTAAAGAGCTTGCAGTGCAAGAATGTTCTGGAGAGTTATACTGTCCCTGTCCTTTTTTGAAACCTTTGCCTTAAGTCAACGTAATGCACAATATTCACTGGGGAATTTTCCAAGAATAGAAAAAGAGCCAGATTTAGGCCAAGAAACACAGTGCTTAAGCCATGAACTAGTTAGGAGTGTTTGATCAGTTCCTGGGCAGCAAAACATCGATTACATTTGCAAATTCTGTTCTAGTTGAGGACAAAATCCCGCTTCACCCTTGATGGGTCTCAGCCACTGCGAGCTGGGGGCTACGCTATCCTTGTAACGCCCTGCAGGAGGCCCGCGGTTCAGACAATTCTAGAACAGGATGGAAGGAGATGCTGTACCTGGGAGCTGAGCCCGACAGAAGACGCCCTCCCCAGAGAAGAGGTGTTAGTGGCAGACTGAGTGCAGGAGGGAGGGTATTTGTAATGGTTACAGGACAGTCTGTCAGCAGACGGCCTAGAAGCCTTTCTGTCAGCAGGCGGGTAGCGCGCAAAGATTTTCGGAGACGGCAAGTTATCGTACAGGACTGCGTTATCATAGAGCACCTCTTCTCCCAGGCCTCTGGCACGGGAAGCAGGAGGGCCGTCTTCAGGGTCCCACTGCAACACACAGCTTCGTCGTTAGTGCCCTCGGCCACAGAAAGCATAGCAGAGACATTATTAGTACCCCCCAAAACGCATACGTGTACCCCACGCTGTTACCAAGAACACACACGTGCATGCACACACACGTAAGCGGACAACTTTTCTACTTTGGGAGACTCAGGAGGGGTTGCTTTTTTCCTTAAGATCATTCCCAGGGTAACTGGCTTATGAAGTTTTTGTTTTGTTCCTTTCTTTAAAAGTAGAGGGGAAAACAAAAAGGATTTGACATTTTTTCTTTAAAGACCCCAATTTTGGAAGCCCCAATCCAGAGAGCGGAAGCCATGTGACAGCCTGGGGGCCCAGAAACCTCGGCCCAGAAAGCGCTTTATTTTACAGTAATTACTACGGCCCAGACGTTGTTTTAAGTGCTTCGAAACTGTTGACCCCTCTATGTCCCCCGGGGAATCTCAAGATGCGGGAGGAGACCGTGGCACAGAGCCGGGCCCCAGCTGCGCACGGCGCTGCCTCCAAGCTGCAGGTGCCCCAGGGTGACACCACCTCCTGACTCCGCCTGTCTGTCACGCACGCGTCAGCGGCTCAGGTGTTACAGGTGACCATCAGTGTGCACCCGGGTGCCACACTCTGTTCTACCTGAAGAAAGCACAGCGACCAAAACACAGTCTGTTGAAAGAAAGAAATCAAATCATCACAGAAAAGAGGACGTTTCAGAATATGGCGGATATAATGGTGTTGTTTTAGCAGGAAAGGTTTTCACAAAGGACTAAAATAACTACGGGCCACTTTAGAACAAGGACATTCAAGTGTGAAGTAAACCCAGACTCAGAACCACAGCCAGAGACCGAAAGGTCTTTACCAATTGCTTTGCACTTTCCAAAAAAGAGAGAAATATTAATTCCTAGGTTGTTCTCACTTTACCCTATTTTTACATCCTTCTGGCAGCACACTGTAATTACAGCCTTTTGTTACAAAAATAGAAGCGGTCTGAGTCTCACGGGAGGGGCGCTTCTGTCTGTTGCAGCCGCTTTGACGTGTCTATTTCTGTGATGCGGGGACCCGCCCGCCATCTACACGCCGCGGCCCCTGCGCACAAGCCTGGGCCGACGGCCCCGCGGGGGCAGCCCGGCACACAGCTGTCCAGGGTTATCTGAACGCTCCAGACTGGACCATCACCTCCCCAAATGCCAAAGGATCGAGTCACATGGAACACTTAGAAACTGATACTCCACGGACGTTTCTAGATTAAAAGTACCTCAGAAGGTCCCTTTTGAGACCCGCTTTTGTCTCGCGCTGGCGTCAGGGGGGCACTGAGGGTCAAGGATCACTGAAGTCGAGACCCTGACAAAATGCCAGGTTTGGGGTCAGAAAGCACGAACTTCGTAAAACTGAGGAAGGAAGCCTCGCGAACAAGGGACGGCCTCCTGGTGCTGGAGCCCGGAAAACAGAAGCAGTTTAAAGAGGGGCCTTGGCTTCCAGGAAGCCCTCGGCAAGCGAGAGAGCCACAGATACTGCACCTGGGACCTCAAGTTGCCACACTGCCGCACACACGTGCAGAAACAATTCCTAAATGCAGAGTCCTTCCAGAATGGTGGGTTTTTATGTCTGAATCGGACGACGCTGCGGGTGCTCGAAGGAAAGCTCATTCCTGGGGACGGGCTGAACCCCCGTGACACAAACCTAAAGGGATGGAGGGGTGGATGGGGCGTGCTCGTGCTAGCCCACCCAGCTCTCCCTGAGCCCTCCGTGTGGAAGGTAAGGAAGAAGGCAGAAAACCCTTGGAGGAAGAGGGACGCAGAAGGGCCTTTGGGCGGGAAGGCCCAGAGACCGTTTTGTGTGTTGTCTTTCCAACACAGGGGGCGCCTGGGACCAAGGGCTCAGAGAAGCTCACGACTGCGTGGGAGCGAGTGGGTGGCTGGACCTACCACCAGGGGTAAGGCCACTCTGTCAACAGGAGCTGGTGGCTGCACGGAGCAAACGGAGGCCAGCACAGCCAGGGGCCGGCCCTAGCCAGTGCCTAGGAAGGCAGAGAGACTGCCCGAGAACCTGCTCTCACAGGGGCCACCATGCAGCCCTCCCTGAGTCGGAAGGCCACCGGGGGACAGAGGCTACAACTCCTGTGTTGTGTCTTCAATCCCTAGTGCAGACCCTGGGCGCTAGGGGCCATGCGGCAAATCAGGAAGGAGGGAGAGAGGATGGGCAGGCAGGGAGGAGGGACTGTGCGATAAGGAATCCAGTAAAGAGCCTGCGGACGGGGCCCTACAGGAACCCCAGGGCAGGCCCGAGGGGGTGGAGGGAGGAACGCCCAGGGCAAGCTATCCAAGACCCTGGGGGCAGACACATGACATCACTACATTTGATAGCCAGCTGGTCACCTCTGACCCAGACCACAGTAACCTTCTTTTCAGTTTGCTTCTACTTCTGAGCTCCAGGAGTCCTTGCCTGACCCCCGCACTTCCCTCGAGAAGGCCGTGATCTCCCGGTGCCTGCCTTGGGCAGGTGTGGATTTGATGACCACACAAAAGAGGGGGCTGATTGGGGACGTCCATCCAAGTACCGAGAAAAGAACAGGTGAGCAAAACAGCAGGAAAAAAGTCCAAAATACCTTCCAAGATTTGAAAAACACAACAATAAACACATTCTATGCCAAACTTCGAAACGTATCCTGACGCGATGCCAACTTTAAGCCCACCCAATACCGGGGGACCAACGGTAAGATGGTTCCTCGAGGGCCTCTCCCCTGGTGGCCCGGAGGACGGCACGGGGCCTGGCCCAGGGAGTGTGCTCAGTGACGGCTGTTCTGTTTGGCAAAGAATGTGGAGATGTGGTAAGAGTTTACTGATGAGGTCCGCTCACTGCGTACAGGACACAAAGTACTGAGAACCGAGCCGGCCAGCCTGAGGCCACGCAGAGCTGTCACTGAGCACCTGCACTGCATTCCTACGGGCAGATAAGCCGCTCTGGACCAGGGGCCGGGCGTCCCAGGTGCTCCAAGGCCACCAAGGGGGAAGACGCCTTGAGTCTGAGGTGCGGCCACTACGCCGAGGCAACATGTCCCTTCTGCTCCCTGAGAACCGAGCCTGGGCTCTATTTTGACATATCTGAGGTGCCGTCCTACGTCCCACATTTTAGGACGTGTTGAGACACAATGACGTGGACGCTGAATGACAGCGTACTGGTGTCCAGGTACCCACTTGCTCAGATGCACACTAAGGTCACAAACAAGCCCGGGAGAGAGGGACACGGGTTCCATCCCGCCTCAGACCACGGCCAAAAGCCCTCTGGCGCCTGGCCTGAAATCGGGGTCCCGGATTACAGGAACCCTCGCGCTGTCCCGCCTCTGACACAGCCGAGCCCGGACCCCTGTACGAGTGGCGCACTCACCGAGCCGTTAATGCAGGGGACGTCGTCGTAATGCAGCGCCGTGCCGCTGGGGTGGGCGTAGCCATTGGAGGTGCTCCCCAGGTACGGGTTAGTGGAGACGCCACGCCTGTTCATGAAGCTGCAAGAAAGGAGGTGAGTTAGGCCCCTCCAAGCCACCCAGAGTCTCACCTGAGATGGGCTGGATGCTCAGGCCAGACCGGAGGTGACGGGGGACAGAAGCGCGAGCCGGCACGCCGGCAGAAGTGGGGTGCTGGGTTACGGCAAGGACAGGCTGCTCTCCTGTAAGACTAGGGAACACCGCCTGCAGGGCTGCGGCCAGGACCAGAGATCACGCATGCTGGGACATGACGCGGTGCCGGCACGTGACCCAGCTGTTCAACACAAGCGACAGGTTTCCTATCTGCAGTGCGCAGCAGGGGCGCCCGGCCGGCTGCCTGCTGGCTGGGGCTCGGCCTTGACCCTCCGCTGGGCGCGCACCGTCGGTGGCTGCTTTCCAGCGCTTTACGGGCTTCTTCCAGGAGCCTGCTAACATGAACGCCCTGAGGCAGAGACTCCCAGCTGGCAAAGCTGAAGTATTTACCATGCGGCCTTTCTGGGGAATGTTCGTGGAGCCCAAGCTCCTTAGGGCACTGTCAGCACGCGTTTCTCCAGTTCCCAGTGTTCATGCAGCATCGCTACCTCAAGCCACTCGCCTCCCGTGGGTGCCTCCTTCCCTGACAGCGGCCAACACGTCTCCAGGGGGAAAGCCGGATGGGGCCACCCCCTGCTCTGAACTGGCGGCCGTGACGCTCCCACAGCAGTCAGAGTGCCGCGTGGCCTGCGGGGCTCCACCACCAGCCCGCTACCTCCCTGCTTCTCCCTCTCACCAACCACCCTGCAGGCCGCCCTGCACAGCAGCTTTGCTCCCGAGGTCCCTCTGGTCTTTCAGCCCCGGTGGGAATTTACCCTGGCACACGAGAGCCCCTCCCTGAAACCGCACAGTAAGGGCTTCAGTGCCGCTACCCTTCTGCTTGTGCATATTGCTAATCGCCACCTGATGTGTCTTTATGCTCGTCCCCCACGACGTCATCCTCAGGAGAACATGGCCGTGGTCACTCTTGCCCATTCCTGGACCTCAGGAATCTGGCCACAAGGCGCTCGGCCTATACGTGCTGGATGTGTGCACGTGTGAACGGTTTACTCGTGAAGTTTATGTTTGTGAGGAGTGAAAGATGTAAATACCCAGGGAGGAGATAACCTAGACAGCACCCTCTCTAAACTAAAATAAATAAGTAAATAGCTAAACTAAAGTAGCCTCCGGACTTCAAGATATATTACAAAGCTGTAACCATCAAGACAGTATGGCACTGGCACAAAAACAGACACGCAGATCAATGAAACAGAATAGAGAACCCAGAAATGGACCCACAAACGTATGGCCAACTGATCTTTGACAAAACAGGAAAGAATACCCAATGGAAAAAAGACAGTCTCCTCAGCAAGTGGTGCTGGGAAAACTGGACAGCGACATGCAGAAGAATGAACCTGGACCACTTTCTTACACCAGACACAAAAATAAGCTCAAAATGGATGAAAGACCTCAATGTAAGATGGGAAGCCATCAAAATCCTCGAGGAGAAAGCAGGCAAAAGCCTCTTTGATCTTGCCCGCAACAACTTCTTACTCAACACGTCTCCGGAGGCATGAACTATTGGGACCTCATCCAAATAAAAAGCTTCTGCACAGCGAAGGAAACAATCAGCAAAACTAAAAGGCAACCGACAGAATGGGAGAAGATATCTGCAAATGACATATCAGATAAAGGGTTAGTATCCAAAATCTACAAAGAACTTATCAAACTCAACATCCAAAAAACAAATAATCCAGTCAAGAAATGGGCAAAAGACATGAATAGACACTTCTCCAAGGAAGACATCCAGATGGCCGACTGACACATGAACATCATCAGGGAAATACAAATCAAAACCACAATGAGATACCACCTGACACCTGTCAGAATGGCTAACAACAACTCAGGCAACAACAGATGTTGGCGAGGATGCGGAGAGAGAGGATCTCTTGCACTGCTGGTGGGAATGCAAGCCGGTGCAGCCACTCTGAAAGAGGTTCCTCAAAAAACTAAAAATAGAACTACCCTGCGACCCAGCAATTGCAGTACTAGGCATTTATCCACGGGATACAGGTGTGCTGTTTCAAAGGGACACATGCACCCCAATGTTTATAGCAGCACTATCGACAGTAGCCAAACTACGGAAAGAGCCCAAATGTCCGTCGATGGATGAATGGATAAAGAAGATGTGGTATATATATACAATGGAGTATTACTCGGCAGTCAAAAAGAATGAAATCTTGCCATTTGCAACTATGTGGATGGAACGGGAGGGTATTATGCTAAGTAAAATTAGTCAGTCAGAGAAAAACAAAAATCATATGACTTCACTCACAGGAGGACTTTAAGAGACAAAACAGATGAACATAAGGGAAGGGAAGCAAAAATAATATAAAAACAGGGAGGGGGACAAAACAGAAGAGACTCATAAATACGGAGAACAAACTGAGGGTTACTGGAGGGGTTGGGGGAGG